AAGAAAAATGAAAAAGTAAAATTTTCTGAAAAATAAATTCTGAAAACTGAAACCAAACACAGTAAATCATTTTCACTATGAGAGCCGCTTGTCTTTGTCTTTGTCAACTCTAGCCCCGGTACAGAGCCCGAAAGCCGGGGCTCGAATATGGCTTGAATTTGAGAAGGAAGAAGAAGGAGGAGGAAGAAGAAGAAGAGAAGGAGAAGCAGAACTGGATGGGGCCATAAAAATGGGGCCGGAGGCAGAAGTGGGTGGAGGCAGAGGCGGAGGCGGGGCTGCGATGCGATGAGCGACGATCTGCGACGATCGGCCGACGAGCTGCGACGACGACGACGACGACTCTCTCTCTCGCCTCTCGCCTCTCGCCTCTGTTTCTCTCTCGCCTGTGTTCAAACGAAGAAGAAGAAGAAAAGAAAGAAAGAAAGAAAAGGAAGAAAGAAAAGGAAGAAAAAAGAAAAAAAAAATCGAAACGCAAAACGACGTCGTTTTGCGTTTCAAGCCAAATTCAAGCCTTGATTTTGGGCCCTCAAACATTTTTCTTGTCAACTCATCACATTTTTTACTTTAATGATTCAATTCATTCATTTTATAGTATTTTTAATTTTATTATTATTATTATAAAATTTGAGTAAAAATTTGATCTAATATGGAACACTTCAATCCTTACCTTTTTAATTTCATCAAATGTTTTTGAAAAATATTGTTTTTCCTAAAAAAATTGTTTTAACCATTTTGAATGAGAGAAAATCATCCACTCCCAATCTATACTATTTCTAAAATTAAAATAAAATTTCATCAAATTTGAATAGAAATATGACTTTGGTGATTGTTTGGTTTATCCTTAGTGTAAAAATTGTCTCCCTTGATTTAATACATATTTGATGAAACAATTAGAACATACTTTTAGTCATTTTTTTTTTAATTTATCAAATTTGAATTTGATGAATAATTATAGATGCTCTAGGTGTACGTAGACCATTTACGAAAAAAACTAAAAATTAATTGAATAATCCTAATCAAAGAATGGGTGAGATACGATTTTGAAAACAAATAGTCTAATTTTTTATGGGAAAAATGGTAATATTTTATTGATAATGATAAAAATTACAAGATGAAAACATAAACCACTCTAAATCAAAATTAAAGATGATCGAAAGCACCTTTTAAGGCATGAGACAAACAGTCCGTCCAAAAATTCCTTCAATTAAAATACCATGCGTCTAAAAACTCCTTTAGTTAAAGTACGTCCACGCTCTACATACCATTCATTCACATATTAAGTTACTGAGAGATCGACCAACAACAAATGCATTACCTGTACATTTTACTTTTATTTTTATTTACTTTAAAGATTAATACCATAAATTTAAATGATTACTATTAACGAATCAATTCACTTAAGACTCGAGACCCAAAATGTAAGTCCTCATCAATCAATAATTGCCTAGCCTTTTATGTAATTAAAATCTATTTATGTAAATTTCCATTTAAATTGCTAACCCAAGTTGGTGTAATTTTACTTACAGCTAATTCGGTTAATGCAAAGTGATTTTACTTAAAAGAGCTCAATTTGTGGTTGAAGAGAGTTTGTTACCCAAACCAAAACCCAGAGGCCTACACCTGGTGGAGGTGAGTTTGAAGTGATTGGAATTTGGAAGGGGTAGGCAAATGGCATGCCTGATCAGCCTGTACCAGATATATGTGTCTGGTTGATGAATGAAAGAAATTTAAAACAATAGGGATGACAAGGAAGTTTCGATTTTGAATAATATATAAAATTTATAAATATTTGTGATGAATATTACGGTACTTTATGATAAAATTATAAATATTAAATTTATGACATGCACTTTAAAGTTAGGGACGGTGAAATTATAACATTTTATGATTTTATACGTTACAAAATTTTATAATAAAAAATTATGAGAAATATATTATATGTACCTTTTTAGAGTGTACATCATAGCATATCTTCACAATCTATCATATGCATGACTCTCTTACATCTAATACACTAATATACATATTAATGTATTTTAATGTTTGCTTGTACAGGTAATGTATTGTATTACCAAAGTGACACCACACATACATACACGTATATCTATATATATGTGTGTGTGATTGTGTGAGGGGGTACTAATGAATTAAATAGAATATCTATATGTGTGTGTGTGATTGTGTGAGGGGTACAAATGAATTAAAATGGGGCTTTTTGGTTTTTTTTTTTTTTTTGTTATTGGCTCATCGAATATACTTTTCTTTATGGTCATAATTTCCAAGTCAACTAGTGGGTCAGCCCAGAAGAATGCAAGAAGGTTCAATGACTTTGAAATTTCACTTTCCACAATATTCAATTTCAATTATAAAAAGGCAAACAAATTGTCAATTCAACTTCACCAACTCATCCTCCTCATCTAATAGACTCCACGTAGGCAAATACATCATCATCAAACCAACCAAAGCTCAAGCATTTAAATTTGGGGAAATTACATTTCTGTCTATCTTTTTAAAAATAATTACAAAACTATGGAAAAATATATGTTTTTAATATTTTCCCCATAAAATTCCTCTCACAGACTTATATATTTTTATTTAGGATATATTACACTATTAATTCCTAAATTTTAACTCTTATATCATTTTAATCCCTATAATTTTGTTTGAATCAATTTTGATATTGATTTTTTTATTTTGTCTCAAATTAGTCTAATTTTTAGCATTTTTTTTTTAATATAGTAGATGCACACATAAAAGGCATGTGTTATGCTTTTAAGAGAAAAAATATAAATTTAATCAATTAAGTAAAAAATTTCTATTAAAAATCCTAACCGCATTATCAATTAGGCTAAATTAACGTAAAATCTAAAAGTAATAGTCAAAATTGAGCTAATTAAAAGACTAAAATAATATAAGTGACAAATTGTAAAAACTATTGATATAATTTACCTTTTTAATTATTTATTTATAATTGGATTTGGAAAGCTTGCAAGCTACGGTACGTCAATAGTTATTTAGAGAAAGGAGAGTAAGTAATTAGTGACATAAGCAATGGCGATCACGAGAATGGTTCAATTGTCACTCAAGTTGAATTGAAGATTACTACAACTTGACTCTGACGAATTTCCATGAAAATTATGTGGATGTTCCTAGAATTTATCTACAAAACTACAATTAAATTAATATCAAAATTTTTGGCCAAGTTATTACTAATCAACCCTTTAAGCATTCAACTTCTAGTTGTTGTTGTTACCAGTCTAACATATATTCAAGTGAAATAAAATAAATAAACCATAAATAAAATTCAGAAAGAAAGAAAAGTAGACTTCTAAACTTTAAAAAAAGAAAAAGGCAAGAAAGCTTGCATGCTTTAATGGAGTACTATTATCTAGTAGACGCTTGAATTCAAATTTGCTAAAATTGAAAATCTCAATTTTACAATAAAATTGATTTATTATTGGACTAATTTTGATTAATTTCGGTGAACTAAGTCACTCATTTTATACAACTAACTGAATAAATAATTCATGTAAATAATTAAGTTGTTCTAACATCAATTATCATATTATTAGAATATTTTTATTTATGTGGCCTATATGGTTTTTAAGAATAAAAAATCCATATGTTATAATATATATGTAATTTCATTATGTGATTACTTATGTGGGCGGGCTTGGGCACTGCCAAATACAATTCGGGTCGGGCTTGGGCAGACCCCCAACCCGACCGAACCCGCCCGAGTTGCACCCCTATGTTTGATCAACCTAATTGTCATATGAGATAAACAGTTCAGATCATTAACATTAGTATAAATTAATCCCAGATGACAATTTTACTTGTGAAGTTGAGATTTTCAACTTTATCAAATCCAAAATTGTAGACACTAAGCCTTGATTGGTATTATTTTGTTTTGAAGTTTTTTAGCTTAAAATTTGAATATGTTTGGACAATGTTTGTTGGCTCATAAAATTTCAGTCTAATTGTTTTTCTGCTAATAAAAATCCCAAAATAACCTCAAAAAATCTCAAAATTTCAGTCAAATTCCTTTGTAAAAAAACATTTTTAAATTAGGTGATGTGATGAGAGTTTTAAAATGTATTGGATCAAAGAAATAATTTCTCCCCTCCCCTCCCTTAGTTTTTGTCAATTATTCTTTATTTGCTAGAAGCATCCTTCAAATTATTTTGAGAGAGACTTCTCTTCGGTCTGAAATTGAATTAGAGTGTATTGTTGAGTCTCTATAGGCGTACCACGAAACCCACATTGATAATCCGAACTTTTCAATGTGTAAGGCTCATTGAGTGCTTCATCCTTACAAAAAATTGCGTTGGTCAGATATCAATAGCTAATTCATTAGATCAAATTTGCGTCAATATGATTTTAAAAATAAATTGCTAACAAAAATATGATATGATCAAGTGACTATTAATATCCGACCAATGTGATTAGTTATATAGTAATGAAATACTCAATGAAATTTACATATTAAACGATTTAAATTATTGATGTGAGTTCCGTGATAGGCTCATAAAATCCAAACAACACCTCCAATTGGTCTCGCTTGGGAATATGCTATTTTAATAATTTTTTGACTAAAATATAAAGTAAAAAAAAAAATTAGTACGTTTTACGAAAAGATGTACAAAAAGTAAAGAGAAATTTTTTTCTTTAACTTTTTGATATAAGTTCTAAATTTTTTGATTTTTTTAATAATTTTTTAACTTTTAAATTAAAATTGTTACATTCCAAACGAAACCTAAGTCCAATTAAAAAACCGAACTAGTGAAAACCCTACACCCTTGCCTTGATTAATACTTGAGACACAAGTTTTTTTCTACAACTCGTAATGAGAGTGGAATTTTGTGAAGGCCATTCCTGTTGTGAACAGGCCATAAAAAATAATAAAAAATAAAAAATAAAAATATAATAAAAGATAATAAATAAAATAGTGTATCCCTAACTTAACTCAATTACCTCATACCAAAGTCCGGTCCACGTGCTTGGAGACTCTCTCTCTCTGTCTCTGTGTCTGAGTCCATTTCAGCGTTTCTCTTTCTAACACTCTGTCCATCCAATCCAGGCAACAACCCCTCCCTATATAATTGTAGCAAAGCATTAAAAAGGGTAGCACATCAACTTGTATTTTTTAACATCTTTCCTTTCGTAAAGAAACCAAGACCCACTCTTCTCTTCTCTTCTCTTCATTACCCCATTCCCCCCTCCCCTCCCATTCAATTCGGACTCTCATACCCACCATTCTCTCTCTAAATCTCTCGGCTCACACAGACTTCCCCGACATTCAGGTAAAGTACTTCTCTCAAAAAAATTTAGGATATTTGTTGTTTGCTTACTTTCTCGGACGAAAAATGTTTTTTTTTTCTTTCCTTGCTATTGTCACTAGTTTTGTAGTTTTACTTGGTCACTTTGTTGAATGAGTTTCTGGGTTTCGTGTATGATCCTGATTTCTTTTGTTTGAATATATGTGTAAGATTGGTAATGGGTTTTGTGAATCCATGCTCTTCTCTATTGATGGGTTTCTCTGAAGCATTTTATCAAATCTCTTGTGTGTTCACCTAAGACCGTGCTTTGCTTCACTTCCAAATGTCATAAAATGAAATGGGTCTCCTCGGATTCTTCATACCCAGCTTGGTTTTTAGAGTCTTCTCTAAATGTTGGTGCTTTTGCTATTGGGTTTTGTAAATTTATGCTCTCTTTTCTTGATGGTTTATTTCAGACACTCTTTTATTGAATTTAATTTTAATATTCGGAAGATATAAGGCGGTGTTTGACTCCTCAAATTCCATGTGTGATTACAGTGTGAAATGCTTATCTTTTGAATTTTTTAATTTTTTTCCTTGGTATTGCGGCAGATCTTTGCTTCTTTTGATGGGTTTCCTAGCAGTATTTAATATTCTTATGATTTGAATAATTTTACAGCTCATTTTCACACAATGTCTAGCTTGTTTCATTCACACATATTTATGTATATATATATATCATAGATCAAATGGGTATTGTGGATTCATCATCATATTTTTATTGATTTGTTGGGAATTTTACGTAATTTACCATGGTTTGGAAGACTACACAACTCATAAACATAATAACTTCATTTATAGTATTTTTTTTTTCGTTTAGTTTGATTGGATTTTGTGACATTCCTCTTACAAGTAATGGTTTGTCTTAACAGGAATTCAGATCTCATAAACCAATCAAAATTGCATTTGAAGTCACATGGGGATTTCTTTCTCGTGCCCATTTGCCGCGTTCAATGATTTAGAGAATGCCTTTGAATCTGTTATTGTAAAATCATTTAATTTTGGGGAAGATGAAGCAAAAACTCCAGTGCAACCAAAAGGTTCTGGGATGATGATAGAAGGATGTGTGACCTGGAAAGCAACAGAAACTGAAACTGAAACAATGGTCTCCGTTGAAGCGCCTTCATCTAAAGGAGAGGATATATTTACTACATCCAGTGGTGTTGAGTGCAAAGAGAAGGATTATCAATCCCCAAGATCAGATAGCATGACAGAGAAAATCACACATTTGCCTATTTTGGATGAAAGCAATCCAAAACATGAAGCCGCTGTAAAGTTGCAGAAAGTCTACAAAAGCTTTCGAACAAGAAGAAAGCTAGCAGATTGTGCAGTTCTCATTGAGCAGAGCTGGTGTGTTTTTTTTATTACCATTTGCAAATTTCTATCTCTCTTTTTTCCCTTGTTTGAATTTTTTATCAGCTTTTCCCACTTTTTTTAATGCAAATTAAAATAATTGCAGGTGGAAGCTGTTAGATTTTGCAGAACTGAAGCGAAGTTCCATATCGTTCTTTGACATGGAGAAACATGAGACTGCTGTTTCTCGTTGGTCAAGAGCAAGAACCAGAGCTGCCAAGGTAAGTTTGAGTCATGTTGAATGAATGTTTATGTTGATTTCTTTTTTACAATATGTTTATATATTTATGGTTCTTACCTGAACTTTGCAGGTTGGAAAAGGTTTATCAAAGAATGGTAAAGCACAAAAACTTGCTTTGCAACATTGGCTTGAGGCAGTAAGTAATTTAAATCCAATGAACTTGATGTTTTTCTTCTGATCGCATCTTTTACGGGCTGTTATTGATTCAGTTATTTATTTATTTATTTTTTTATCTTGTTTGTTTAATAGATTGATCCACGACATCGTTATGGACACAATCTTCAATTCTACTACCTTAAATGGCTTCACTGTCAAAGCAAAGAACCCTTCTTCTACTGGTAAGATTTTAAAAGATTTAATTGGAAAGAAATTATCGCGTTCATTTAAAAATGTATATTTAGATGTTTAGAGTTTTCAACTGTGTTGCTAACATGTGTGTATTGGTAAATACAGGCTGGACATTGGAGAAGGCAAGGAAGTTAATCTTGTTGACAAATGTCCTCGATCAAAACTTCAGCAGCAATGCATCAAGTATCTTGGTCCGGTGAGCCCCTTTCGATCTCTTTATCATCTCTTTTTATTTTGAATTTCATTTTTTTTTCTCTCTAGGCCCTTGAGAACCTTGTTACTGATGATTTTCTTTTATTTTCTCTTCTCACAGATGGAAAGGAAGGCTTACGAAGTGATAGTGGAGGATGGAAAGCTCGTGTACAAGCATTCGGGTGAGCACCTTGACAGCACTGGAGAACCAAAGGGTGCGAAGTGGATATTTGTCCTAAGCACATCTATGACTCTATATGTTGGGCAGAAGAAGAAAGGCACATTTCAGCATTCCAGCTTCTTAGCTGGTGGAGCCACATCTGCCGCTGGTAGAATAGTTGTTGAAAAAGGCATCCTAAAGGTAATACTACTACTACTACTGTTTTCAAAATCAAATCAGCTGCAAATTCATATTCATTCCATATTGATTTAGTTGGGTAATTTTTTTTGATGCTGACTTAACAATATTCTTTCTGGTTAATTTGAACAGGCAGTGTCGCCTCACAGCGGCCATTATCAGCCAACGCCAGAAAACTTTCAGGACTTCATCTCATTCCTCAAGGGGAACAATGTGGATCTCACTGATGTTAAGGTAAAAACTAAAATATCATTTTCTATTAAAATATCATTTTCTATTGCTTCCAAATTGCTTTTCAAGAGATAGTGATATCAGATACTGATTGAAAATGTTTTATGTATGTGAATAATCAGATGGACCCAGTGGAGGAAGAAGGATCCTTAAGCAAACAGAGCAGTCTTTTCATGAGAAGTATCTCATCTGAAGAAGACCTAAATGAAAAGGACGGTGTGGAGACAAAACAGATGGATGTGGAGGACAAGACTTCCTCAGAGAAAGCCAATTCCACAGAGGACCATGAGGATGCTGTTGCAGCTCCATCGGAACCAAGGACATCGGGGGCCAGTCTTCGCACACAATTGACTAATCTTTCAATACCAGATAGGGATGATTTGTTTGAGATGTTAAAGTTTGAGAATCAAGCCGTTGAATTGAGTACCAATACATTTGATGGATATGAAACAGAGGAAGAACAAGATCAGATGAGTCCTGAGCAACACTTGTTTGATGAAGACCAAGAAGATGAAGAAGAGACTGTCATTCCTCAAGAATCCATTCTGAAAAGGATTAATTCGCATAAAGGAATGAATTCATATCAATTGGGGAAGCAGCTGTCTTGCAAATGGACTACGGGAGCCGGGCCTCGTATTGGGTGTGTGAGGGATTATCCTTCCAAACTCCAATTCCATGCTTTGGAGCAAGTGAATTTGTCTCCAAGAAGTGCTGCTGCTGCTGCTGCCCATTTCAGATCAAACTCCACTCGACTCGAGTCTATTCCCAAAACTTTTAGTGGAGAGATCCACATTAAAATGTCTAGTTTCAGTGGAGAATTGACTCGAATTAGGCATTATACACCACAATCCTCTCCATTATGTAAAGGAACCTCAGGAACCATAGCCGCCAAACAGTCATGATACATACATCCGATAGGGTTTATTCTTTAATTAGTTTATTCTTTTTTTGTGAATAGAAAAGATGACATAGGAATTCTTTGACATTCTTTTCTGTTTGTCATGTACAAATTTTTTGTTTGCTCATCTTGTACAAATCCAAGATGAGAATTGTACAATTTTTGCAGATTTCAGTACCATCCCCCTATAATTAAAAAGAAAGAATTTTTGTTTTCCTTGGTATTTGTTTGATATTGAACTTGTGAACTTTATACAGTATTAACAAGGACTAAGGTTTGTGCCTGTTAAGTACTGTTTTTGTTTTCTGTTTTCATATTTCAACAAACACAGAAAACTTCCGTTCAGAAAAAAAAAAAAACAAACAAAACAAAAAAACAAACAAACAAACACAGAAAACTAGCGTTTCTAAAAACTATTTTCAACAATTTTTTTATTTTTTTATTTTTTAAAGCAACTTACTTTTTAAAACATACAATAAAGTTAATTTTTAAGTTTCACAAATTATTTTTGCATAAAAATGACAATATGTTAAAAAGATGAGCATTTTATAACTTTTCATGAGCATTTTATAACTTTCATTGATTTTGTTCATGAAAACAAAAAAAGTAAAAAATAAATAAATATAATAAGAAGAAGGAAAAGGAAAAGTAAAAAAAAAAAAAAAAGTACTACAAAACAAGCTAGTATTGCGTTCAGCCAAGATATTGGGATTTCATTATTATTATTATTATTATTTGAACTGATCCAATATCTTAAGATGACTAGGAAGATTAAGTGCTTGTTTGGGATAAGGTTTTTCGGCCTGAGTTTTTGGTGGTGTTGTTTGACAAGTTGGTTTGTGGCTAAAATAGTCATAAAAGACAAAATAGACTATTTTAGCTACAACAAACAAAATATCACATCCAACCTATAATCATTACATTCTTTTCTTACAAAAAAAGTCAAAAAAGTCAAAAAAACCCTTCCAAACCAAACTTTTTAGCCCAGGCTAAAATAGTCAAAAAGTCAAAAAGCAAACCCACTTCCCAAACGGAGGCTAAGTTATTTTAGTCTGACAAAAAAAGTTATATTTGGAATGATTTATTTATTTATTTTTAGTTGAATTAATGATTGTGAGAAAAAAAATAAAATGATTATGATTTAAATGTAAAATTTTGTCTTATTAACTATTTTAGTATTTTTTTTATTGACTATTTTAATTAATTTAGCTCATCCCAAACAACACCTAAATGGTGCTAGTAAAAAATTTGAAAAATTATATATCAGTTAAAAATTTATAAAATATTTATATATTAATAAAAAAAGTTTATAAATTTATATATTAATGTTTATAAAGTTTTTTTATTAATTTAAAGTTTGTTTTTAAAAAACTTGCTTGGTTAGAGTTTTTCAAAAACACTTTTCAGAAAATTCTACTTTCTTATTTTCTGTGTTTTTTTTTTGTTTTTATTGAATTTTTTTAATATTTTAAGAATTTTTTTTTTAATTTTTAGACATACGTAACATAAATATACCTAAAAAGTAAAAAAATCTTTTAAAAATTTACTAAATATCAAAAATACAAAAAAAAAAAGAAAAGAGAATTCAGTATATTTTTTGTATTTTTATGTATTTATTAATTTTTTAAAATATTTTTTTACAATTTTTTTACTTTTTAGATACATCTAAGTAAGATGCATCTAAAAAAGTAAAAATTAAAATTTTAAAAATATTTACTAAAAATAAAAAAATACAAAAACTAAAAAATTTAATCATGTCATATAGTGATATGATTGGATGATTGATTGATTGTGACTTTTGTAGAATACAATTTGTAAGGAGTATTTGCCGGGTGTGATGTTGTCAACGCTGTTGAAGTGGGGTGTGGGGTTGGACCCTGTCAGGGCTGAGAAGTTTCTTTCTTGATCCATTTTAATCAACTCTCCATCCAAACTCATTTGGAAAGGTATAACTAAAATTTTCATATTTAGGATAAAATTAGAAGCTTTCGGATTGAAGTTTGGTAAGACACAAGTTTAGAAAATCAATGTGAGAGAGAGAGACACACACAGCGTGCATATTCTTCCAATTGTAACCGCGTTGGTAATAATATTTAAAAATATAATTCAAACTAGTTGTTGTGCATCTAATAATAATAAATAGTAGTTTCACCTGTTTGGGTAAATGATGTAGAAATTCAAACATGTTTTCTTCTTCTTTTGTCCCAACAATTTGATGTCTGTGAAAACCACTTTAATGGTTTTATTGTTTTGTTTGTGTTTAAAATTTCTCCAAGCTCTAGTAGTCTTCTTCCCATGAAAGTACACGAATGACCGACCAAGTCTACCACTACCATGATAACAACCTTATTACTTGATGGTGAAGGAAGGTGACAAAAGTCATTGAGCTCTTAGACCAAGTCCAACATATATTGAAATGAGTCATCTCATCACAATTTTTTTTTTCTCTCTTTACTTTTCAATTTTAGAAAATTAGAGTTAAATGGAATTAATAGACAAAAGAAAATAAAATAAAATATACAAATACACAAATATGAAGAGGTACATCTGCACCCCATGTTTTGATATATTTTTTAGGAATTGTAATCTCCCCTTGAATATTCTGGGCAGAGATAGATAGGTTCATAGCAATGACACCTAACATAAATAAGGGATAAGATTGCAGGTATTATTTCAGATTATGTTTGGATTATTAATTTGGTTAGGATTTAGAAATAAAAAGGAAAAAGTGAAGAAATCTGAATGAATTAAGCTAACTTTTTGCTTCATGATTCAAACATAGCTTGAAAGTAGTACACATTCGTTTTAGTTACAATTCGATATGTGCTTTTAAGTTACCACAAACCATATGAGATTATGTGCCCTTCTGAAAACTTGGTAAAAAGTCAATTTTTTAACTTTTTATCAAGTTCTTCCAAAAGTCACAAAAAAATCACTAAAAAAGTCAGTTTTTTGGCCAAAAAAATCACCAAAAAAGCTAAAAACTCAAAAAATTAACTTTTTACTAACTTTCTAAAACACCCCTATATATATATATAAATAATCGATTGTGTAATTGTTTTTATTTTATCTTTCAATGGTTATGAACTCAATAAGTATATTGACTTTTTCTTTATTTGAAATAATGGTGAATTTGTATTCCCTAAATAACTGGGTCATTGGAGCTACAACAATATGTAGTTGAGTTGTAACTTCCGATATATTATATCATTATATGGCGCCATAACTGGAAGGGTGTGCAACATGCATCACTTTAGAGGGTATGCTCTAGAAATTTAGCCATTGTTATTGTTATACACTTTTCTATCGGACTTAAACATCAAAAGAATGGGATTGAACAATTGGATTAGTACTGTTAATAAATTAATATACTGTTCATAAATTAGGTTTAAAATTTTTTAGGTACTGTAGTTGGATTTTTTTTTATTATTGATATTCCTTGTAAATTTGTATTTTAATTTCTACTATTTTAGTTAATTTATAATCATTTTTTTTTAATTTTATAAATCTTTGATTTGAATTTTGTAATTTGAGTTAATTTTTTTTTCTAATCCGGCAATCCGTCCAAACCGCTAAGTTAAAATCGTCATTATTGCCAATCGCTCTGCCGATTTGTGATGAAAAAATGATGATTTTTAATGACAAATTTTCCAATCCGCCACCCGCCGAGGAGTTTCTCTTTTAACCTCAAACCATATTGAATCGCATTGCTCACACCCCTTGTCACGCCCCCAATCCGCCCCAAGCAGGATGTTGTTGTGACCGGCCAATAGTCGTAAACTACCAAATGCCTAACTTTCAAAAGTAATTGAACTCTTATAATAATTGGGGCAAATCTATTCCGTTTACAAGTTCGGAAACCATTATTTTCTTATATTGTATCGTTTTAAAACATCCATTCAAATCAATGCATAACTATATGAAATGAAAGTATACATTTCTTTTGAATTATTATCTTGAATATTACATGGATGACACAATAAAAGTAGAGTACATTACATTTAACAAACTTTACAAATCCAATACAAATATACAAGATCGTCTTCTAGCAACTTCCTTTCATAATTAAGTTCTTCGTCGCTTACATAAATATATATATATATACACATATAAGGGAGAGGGGTGAGTCATTTCCTAGTGAATAATATTATAGTAAAGTGGTAAATGAATAAATTTCAAACCATTTACAAAACATAGATATCATATCGCATTTCCAAAAGCATTCAAACATTTCTCATAAGAATATTTCATATTCAAAACATGATAGTATGGTACATTCATTAGAACCTCTTAATAGAATAACTGGTCCGAGTACCAATTAGACAACGCCACATCTCTAGGTGGCTGATGAGATCTCATAAAGGCCATGGTCTGTGATGTCGTCCCCCCAAGACTTAGGAATATCTAAGGATGTCATTCATAGATTCAATAAAACATAGGACATTCATTCATTCTAAAACAAAATAAGAATTTCACAAAATTAGGATATATCATCAATGTTTTCAAAACTAATTTTCAAACATAACTTTACAATAATGTTACTTACAAATGGCTCTTTGAACAAAAGGTTTCATCCTTCAAGTGCTTGACCTACACAAAGCATAAGCAAAATAGTGAAAGCATTCAAACTAACAAGCTTCTAAATTCACTTCAAGTATTCTAACTTAACTTAGTGTTTCTTAATATTTTTCTTAGATTATCCAAGACTTTTCTAAGCCTAATTCAAGTCTAAATCAACTGTCAAACATGTATCGAATGCATGCTTAGAAGCATCCTAAGTGATTAAGGCTTGAAGAATATCGAAGTGTGCCGAAAACGTACGTTGAAGGGTAAGTATTTGTAACAACCCCGACCCATGATTAACGCTAATTCATGTTTAAGTATGTCAAATAAGTAATTAAGAAGGAATCCTAAGTTAATTATATGTGGATTGCATCATTTTGTGTCTATATCTGTTTGACGCAGAAAGATCTGTTCATGTTTTAGTTTCGATTTGAGAATTGAAGGCCTTATCGGCATCCGATTCAGAAATTGACTAGATTTATATGTTAATTAGGATTTATAGAATTTTATGATAAGTTTAATTAAAATTTGATTTGGAATGATTAAATTAGAATAAATGATGCTACTTAACTTAGCTTAAGCCAATTACTTAAATGCCACTAAGTAGGCTTATGTAAGACCACTTCTACTCTTTTATACATGTTTGTTTTGAC